GGTTATTTGGACTTGATGCAAGAGTTTAAGTTGAGTAAAATACAGTAAGCCCTGTTGTTTGTGACTCATGCATGACCGCTAGTTAAGCAACACCACAAAAGACACACACCCACAAATAGCAGTGCATTTGCAAAAAAACACATATGTTAACAAGCTTTAAGAATCAAATAAATATCAATTCATACCACTGCAACCGATTTTAAAATGACATACATATCCGGTAAGCTGCTCTCAAGTCAAAAGGCAGAAACTACATTTGTATTGTATTAATTAGTGAACTACATACAGCTATGCTAACTTTCCCCAGGATTTCTTCTGGGATTCTCCTGGCTTCCTTCAGGACCTGGTCCAAGGATCCCCCATCCTGCAGAGACAAGTTGCACAACATAAATCTGACATAACCATTAAAACAAACCCCCCCGCCCCCCCCCCCCACTCAAATAGACAACATGTATGTTCATTGGTTGCAAGCCCTGCTAACAGTCTCTCACCATGTGCTCCATACAGATGCTGATCTCCCCATCACTGTAAAAGGCCCCATAGAAGCCCACAATGTAGGGGGAGTTGCATTCATGCAGCACCTGCAGCTCTCTGATAATCTGGTTTCTGATGGCAGGCTTGATTTCCAGGTGGATCAACTGAGGAGGGAATGAGTGAGACCATAAACTGCTGTTCTGACAAAAAGAAATGTACCCGATGCGGTTACATCACTCACTGACCTCCAAACATCTCAAGATAACGCATTTCAAAAGGTGGTGGTTGGCATAAATACAACACTTTCCAGTTCGTCTGTGTGATATGTTATACAACCTCAACACATATTTGGGATTTCACATTTAAAGTAGTTTCAATCACTGACACAAACCACGTGAGTCTATATACACACCAAATGTCTGAGAATTTACACCTATGTTTTAAAGTAGTGATAACCCCCATAACAAATGCAAGTTCCCAGATTTCAAAAATTGTGTCTCATCATTTGTAGAACTTTTAGGGGAAATTCAACTTGCCTGTCAACACACACCTAACAGCTCGACAGCCTACAAGCTTGTGCTTGCTTGAGTTGCTGCTGTAGTGTCTGCATGGAATCCCAATAGCTCGTAAACTGTGCACCCTACGTTATGATCTAAATAATACAACGCTATGATGCAGGAATACTTGACTATATTTGCGAGATGCCAAAAATGTTTTTTTTTTTTTTTTTTTTTTAAATCGCACAAAATACACAAGCTGAGGATCCCTTTAGGTTTTGTTAAAAAAGGCCAAAATATGTACTGCAAATCAGTGTGTAAAACACACAAACATCTTTTATGTCGAGGTGCCGAATCCAAAAAGTAGGTACTATTTAATTTCACAAGGAGTCCCAACACTGCAGAATGCTCCCTTTCGGAAACAGTCTCTTTCATTCATTAACAAGAGTACAATGTTTTGAGCACGGTTTTAATTAAATTTTGAAATTAAAGAAACATTGAAAGCAAAACTGTTTTTGAAAGGGAGCAGCCAGACAGACATTTTATGGTGGAAAAAGGATTTGCAGAGAAACTCCTGCACAGTCTAATTTGAAACTTGGTACTACACCTTCATCAGGAAAAATGAGTACCAAATCTAGTATCAAAACATTATCACCTTATAAATTTATTTTTGCAAGTTAAACAGCGCGTGGGAGTTTCTTTGCAACTTTTGACCTACTCGTCCCCCTCTGATGCACCGGTCTCATGTTATAGCTGTGCGAGGTAATTTTCTGTTCCGAGTCTATGGTGGAACAATGAACCTGCTTGTAAACCTCAAACATATATTTGCCACTTCTGCATGCTTTGCACTGCAATTTGTTCTTACTTATGAGATAGATAGATAGATAGATAGATATGCCGCCAATGATTATAATCTGTGATACGCTGATATTAAGATTTATCTAATGGTTATTCTCCTGTTCTATTGGAAAAAAGGTCTCAACTTTGCATTTTCCTTTAACTGCCCTTGTACATTCTCATATACTTCTGGCAAGTCCTGATGTGTTGTTGCTGCTTTGAAATCATGGAGCATGGTGTGCTTTTCTCCACACAGCAAGTCAGTGCGGCTCCATGCAGAAGTGGCTGCAGCAAACCAAGCCAGCAAGAGTGTTATGGTGCAATGATAAAAATCTGCACTGTACTGGAATTCCTAAAAACAAAACCTCTGGAATGTGTTTTATTCCCTCCAACAGTCACACTTCACCTGTAACAACAACAAAAAAAATTCAGCAAATGTTCATTTTCACCTTCCGGGCCATAACCAAACCCGAGGGTTTGTGGCGGACCTTGTTGACCACTCCTCCATTTCCAGCACCCAACTCACATATGGGGTCAAAATCCTCATCCTTCAGTTCCCCAACCTGGGCTTTCTGGGTGAGAAAGGCTTCCAGTCGTTTCCTCTGTTGTTCGTCCAGGTCAAGTTCACCCAGTTTCTTTTGTAAGGCTTCAAGGTTGGCTCTGTGAGGAGGAGGCAGACGGTTCAGCAGGGTTTAATACACAGATGTGTCAACATTTAAACAACTCTATTTAAAAGGGTAGTGCGTGATATTAAACTTATGCAGAGCTTGTAAAAACACACTTTACAGGAACTCACTCTTTAACCCAGGTACAATTTACTTTAACTCATGCTAGGGCCACTCACTCAGATGCAGCATCAATGGTGTTGGAGGTGGCCTGTCCTTCCCCAATGGGCGTTATGTTCAGGGGAACGGGTCTTCTTTTGGGAGCCATTTCAAGACTTTCTCAAATATCGCACTAACCTGCAGTGAGCTGGGAAGCTGCTAATCTGGCCGTTTCCTTGTTCGAAACCCAAGTGTGAAAAAGCAACAGGATCAGCTCTAGATGGCTAACAACTTGGCTAGCTAACGTTAGCAAAGTTACTATACTTTCGGTAGCATGTCAGTCAGCTATTTCGGTAATTCGTATCATGCCGAGGTGCTCGTTAAAAGTCAGGTCGTTTTCCGGTGCATCTATCGCTTTTGGAGTGAAAACATTTCTATTTTTCTGCTTCTTCTGGGTTATCTACCTGCTGCTACTAGCCACTAGCCACTAGCTGCTTTGAGCTAGCACCAGCCCCTGGAAAAATCGTGCCCTGCGTCTTTCTGCCCTAATGTGCAGCCCCTCTTCTCAGCTTTCACGAGACAGCGAGCCGCCACGGGTGTACCGGCAGCTACACCGGGAGGCCGACTCGACTGGCAGCGTCCAAGCAACAAATCCCTCCGTCTTTCAGTCCGAGGTGTGGGGCTCTCAAGCGAAAAAGGGCTTTGGCTCTGGTTGATGGTGCTTCAATACAGGAAGCAGCAGCTGCAGCATCAGATCTGTGTGACACCCACAGGGAGAGCCCTTCATAAATAGCGCGAGACTGAGGCCCTCTGACAAATGGATGCGAGAGAGGCAGCGAGCTCACGGGAGATGTACGATATCTGCAGTTTGTGCTAATACCTCATGTACGCTCTCTTTAATGAGGTGAAAATCCATTTTAACCACATCTTATCCAGCACCTGCTGCTTTCTTATTTGTTTTAATGGTAGATAGTAAACACGCCGCGAAGTACACTACTGCCTCCCAGTGGTAACAAGAGGGTACTGTTGATTTGCAATAGATTATAATAATATATAATATTGTAAATATTCAGTTACCTCTTGTTACCAATACCAATAAACTACCGTTTATAATTATTGGTAACAAGAAGGTAGTAAGATTATTTTTTTAATCTTGTGCACACAAGTTATTATCTTGTGGGAACAAGATAATAACTTGTGCGCACAAGATAAAAAATATATAATATTATGGGACTCCATAGTTTACTGTTGATTGACAATAGATTATATTATTATATAGTTATAGTTTATAATTATTGGTAACAAGAGGGTACTGTTGATTTTTACAACTTACAATTTATTATTATTTGTAGTTTATTATTTCTGGTAAGTAAAAGGAACTGAAGACTTAAAATAGATTTTAGTGTATTAATATTGATAGTTTATTATTATTGGTAACAAGAGGGAATGACAATAGATTTTAGTTTATTATTGAATAGTATATGGTTGTTTTTGCATGATATACTGCATACTCTACTATATTTCTGTCAGAGAACTTGAATGCACAACAACCAACATAAAAAAATAAATCTATTTCTGAAACAACTACTAAATGGACCTTGTGGTGTTCTGTCAACTGCTGTAGAGACATAATCCAGGTGAACCCAGAGTGCATGTATGGTATATGTTGTTGTCAGGCTTTTTCCAGTAAAGACATTTTGACATATCACAGTATTAAAAGCACAGTTCCCTTTAGCTGCTTCACTTTCAGGGTCCTGGTATTGTTCATGCTGGCTCATGGTCACACTATCGTGGCTCACTGGGAACCAGATATAATGTAATAAATGTAATAAAAAAAGGAAAAAATTGTAAAAATTTCTTATCAAAAAGAATTCTTGGCTTTGGATTTTTTGAGGTCCTGGCTTACTAATTCACACTTCATGCTTTATGTCTACTGGTTCTATTCAAAATACAATGTTTGACTTTTCCAGTATTTTGGCATCTGAGAAATGGTCAGAATATTTCAACATATATTCAACAGATATTTGAATTAATAGAGGACTGCTTGCGTGCAGTCATCATACAGTTGATCCACATTGAGCGGCCAAGGAGTTTAAGGCTCTGGCCATGAAGTCGCAGCACTCCTGGCTCGAGTTCAGCGTCCCTTGCATGTTACTCATCCCTTCCTCCTCACATTTCCTGTCAGTTACTGTCTGCTGTCTAATAAAGACCTAATCCCCCCCTCCCAAATTAATCAAAATTTAACTACGACGCCAAGAAAGTTAAGTGACTCAGTTTCACAGAAGGCTAAATTTACACAAGAAAGATTAAGATCAACCTCAGGTAAAGAAAACTAATGTTTTCGATGCTGGAAGATGAGATGCATGTGTCCTCGTGGATCCTGTCCGGCTGAATGCATACGCTTTTCCAAATAAAACGATGGCACACATGTATTTAAGAACTGATTTTAATTAATTCCACACGTCAATAACAGCTGTTAGAATACGATCATTTTAAATTTTACAGTTTTATCCTCAACAGGCATCAAATGTGTCCCCAGATCTGAGCATTTGGTACAAGACATAAAAATCTCCACCTTAACCCGTCCTTCCAGTCCTCTGTGGCATCAGCTTCAGGTGCTGTTGCCCTCAACAGCTTCTTATTGTCAGTTTGCCTATAGGAACAACTGGAGGCAATTCAAGGCTTAATAAAATATTATTTAGATTTTATTGTCTTTTAATATGAACATATAAAAAAAACACAACAAACAAAACATTTACATCATGGATTGTAAGCCTCTGCCCATGCTACCATATGCATTATTATAAGAGATGCCACTACAAAAAGACCAGACCCTCAGCTCTCTCCAGCTCCCAAACAACCTGCAAACACATCTGGCTCAGTTCCACAGAAGCAACCTGCACCACCTCTCATCTTTAACCATAAGGCAAAGAGAATTCAAATAATGGCCTTCTATACCCATCAACAAATTAACTGTAATTTTTTTATGTATAGCAGTTACTTACAAATACAAATTGCCTAGTTCATGACAACTATCAAGAGTTCTTACATTATTTTGCCTCAAAGCACTTCATAAATGAAGATCCTTTTAAGGGGCAGACTGATGTATAACTGAGAAAGTGCCATCAATCAATTTTGTATTGATTATCAAACATTTTTCACCAGTATATTGATTTTGTAAGTTATATCAGTGTCAAAAAGGAGGAGGAGAAAAATGGAAGACCATATTTGACTCTACCTGTCAGAGGATGTACTTGCAACAGTGAGGCCCCGGATCAGTGTGTAAATGTCACTTCTCTGTGTGTTTGAGAAAGGCAAAAGAAAACCAGATTCTGTGCTAATCTAACCGCAACAAAGGGATGACAAGATAGGGAAGCATACAATGCAGAACTAATCTGAGTCACTACTTTCCCCCCCTCCCAAGTCTCTCACAGTAGAGTAGGACAGCCGCATTTTCTAGTTTCACATTTTCTGATTCCCACGAGATGTTTGAGCACAACTGATCACAATGGTCGGGGTCCTTGATTAGTACTCACTACATGATGCCTTTAAAAGAAATAAGCCATAAACACAGGATGAAGTATCAGATGAAAGTGCAAATAGCTCTAACAACACAGCAAAACCATTTGTCATCTTCAAGCGAATGCAGCTGGCCTTAGGCAAACCTAACGCCTGCACATGCGGCCCGAGTATCCTAATCTGAGGAGCAGCAATCACATACTGACAACACTAGTGCAAGTGCAGAGGAATATTAGTTGTAAGCCTACAGCACGTAGCAATTAAAGTCCGATTCTATTCCAGCCAATAGATGTGACCTTATCTACATCGAAAGCAGGCCGAGGGGGATTGTTGGTTGGAGCGGATCCACTTGTTCCAGACAGGCCCATTTGTAATCCAATCAATGACTTTAAGCTTGGTGGGGTTGCACTTATTGACACTTGATTAAGTTTCGTTGTGTCAGACATGTTGGACCCAACGTAGAAAAGTACTCTGAACTGTGCTTTGACCCAGGTTAGATTCATTCAGAGGAAAAGAGAAAAAAATAAAAATAAGGAGCATTCATCAACAGCACAGCCATGAGCCCAGACCAATTCCAACAATCAAACCACTACAGCAGAGGCATCCTGCTTTCTGCAACTAATAGCTCCTGTCTGTACAGAACTACAGCCAAATATTATGTAGATTTAACTGTTAAGAGAATGTATAGCAAGTCAATAAATATGATACTTTGAGAGACGGTCACCAAAATGTGGGGGTGGGGGAGGATGACAGCACTTTTGAATTTGTTCTTTCCCGCAGATTTTTTTTTCCTGCTTCTCGGTCCATTTCTTTTACTGGTAAAAAAAAAAACCCACATCCAATACACCCAAGGAAATCCTAAATGAAATAAAACATCTTCTCTCAGACTGGGGTATCATCTGCTGTCAAGCTCAGCAAGCCTTAAAACATCCAGCTCCAATCCTCACCACTCGACAAAATAAAGGCACCAAAATCTCGTAACCATATCCTGTCAGTGAATTCTTACAATCCATCTGCGATGGCACACCTGCCGTACAGTAATTTTGATGACTTCCATGGACAATGCTGATATCAACCCCAACAAATCCTGTTATAATAAGATAACTGCAGTGATGTTTTACAAAGTGGTAAAGTTCCACCCACACCTTGTTGCATCACTGACACCTACAGTTAGCTCGGTTATCCACAAACTAACTCGGCCTTCAACAAAGATTTTGTTGCTGCAGGGGGAACAGAGCTGCACGGGATGATGGAATAAAAAAAAATTAGAACAAAACAACAAAAATCTCCAGTGTAAAATTGGCTTCAGAAAGACTCAATTCTTCTGTCCTCCGCTTCTTTCTAAACTAGTCTCTGGTCAGTCTGCTAAGTTTTTATGACTGAGGTAGGTTCTCTTTATCTAAAGGACAAAATAAAAATGGAAAGCATCACACACTGAGGCCAGTATTGTGTTCTGCCCTTTCATAACTAAAAATGATAAATTCCTGAAAAAACCTTTTCAAGCTTTGAATTCATTCTCTGAACAAAGAAATAATAACACAATGCGAGAGGTTTAAATTTGCATCACACTCCAGATATCTCTGCCTTGTCCTCCCCCAAATTATCCATGCTCTTTCCATTAGTTGTTTTTGACCTTCTACCAAAAACTTCTGAGGAGCCTCCGTTTTCAACTTGCCTGTTCATCACAAATGTGACAATAATCACAGACGCAAACATTTAACGCCCAACGGCTAAAAAAGCCAGTAATTCCAAGTCAAATACAAAGAGAGATGCGGTGGTAGAGAGGGAGTAGTCTGAAAAGAGGGGAGGAAGGTGGGTGGGGTTAGGGGTGGAGTGCTCGATCCATTCAGTCTCTTTAGTAGAGGCAGGGCGGTACAAATATTCACTGCAAGGTGACGGTTGGCCAAAGAGAGTTAGAGTTGCTTCCAGTGGTGTACAGTACAAGGAGGAATCCTAATCACTCTAGATTCAAGATTCATTAACAGTGCATGTTAAGTGTGTTTGTTTTATCTGGATATAAACCAGAGCTGCTGAAAGGCTCTGACGATTGGGGCGTAAGGGAGGGTCGTTGCATTTAGTGGATTACGGTGTTCCTGTCCTCGAGTTTTTAGCCCCCTGCCTCTCTGTCTCTGTGTGTGTGTCAGTTTATGAGGGGACAGAGCTGTGGGGTCAGTAGGCAGTGACCAGGTCCTTGTCGTAGTTGTATCGGCCCCTCTTTGGGGCAGGACTGTCGGCGCTGTCCTCAGTGTCCTCACTGTCGCCTCCTGCCCCGCCACCTTCCTCCTCAGAGGAGGAGTCAAGAGTCAGATCTACCACTGCACCTCCTCCCGGTGCCACAGCAGGTCCTCCTGTGACTCCAGCCATCCCCACGGAACTGCTTCCAGATTTGCCCGTCAGGCTGGTGCTGCTGTGGGCCGGTGAGTGACCGTTTGCCTCAGGAATGCCTGCAGACATAAAGGCCATTTTAAAATTGATTTAAAAAATAAAAAAAAAATAAATAAAAAGGGATTCACAAAAGGAAACTAATACACGGGACTTAAAAAAGAAAATCCACACATTGTGGAAGTTAAATTCACAGGGTTAGACACTTACATATATCAACAACAGGATACTCCGGTGTGTTGCTGCGTTCTCTTTCCCTGTCCCTCTCCTTTTCATCTCTGATGGGTCGCCAGGAGCCATCGGTTAAGTACTCAATCTCCTCAATGTCCTCACTCGTCTCTTTCAGGATCTCAGATAGCAGCCTGAAATGCATACTGCTGTTTAGAGTCATCTCACAAAACAGATTTTGCACCAGAAATCTGTTTTGCATTCAATTCAAACATTATTAAGATGAAAAAAACAAAATAGGCTTGAATCCTTGGCTATTCTTTATTATCAACTGAAAATTGCATTAATTCCTTATATTTTACAAAACAGCACTATAAACTTTCAGTAATTAGACTGTTGAAACTGACACCTACAGAGATCAGTTAAAAAAACAACTTTCAAATCCAAGCTTAAATTAAAAAATGCAAATGTACTTCAACGCCAAACTGTAACACAATGCTTTCAGTCTTTGTGAAAGTAAGGGAGTGCCTGTGAGAGTTGCTTAGAATTGTCAGGAAACTACACGCCCAAATGGTTGTGGATGAAAATATTTTATCAGCATGGATAAAATAGGACTGCAGGCTCATCTGTGTTTTTCCTATGGCATGATTAATTCACTATTCTGTTGGTGACGAAATACCATAAAGAAAAGACAAAATGAAACAGCAGACTGATCATGGATACATTCATTCATTTTGCACCTGCACAGCACTTTACACTGTCAACAAATGACTGTAGGTGTCTTCAGAATCACTTGCAGCAATGAGTGCTGTGTAGAAATAAAAGTGTTGAGCCCTCGACTCCCACGATTACATGGATTTCTAAATTATAGCCTTGCTACATCACGTAAATCAAAGAGTCAACAAAAAAGCCAATTTAAAGGATCAAACCTTTTGGAATACAACCAGACCGCAGGCGTAGAAATAACCCCCCTCTTATGCCATGCAAAACATTCAAAGCTTTTACAACGAAAACATCATGCATCAAGAGTCCTTAAAATGCCCCCACATCTGCACAGCTTGAATTATTCACCCCAAGCTGGCTTGATAGCTAAAATTACACAAGTGTAAATTTTCACAATTTACTAAAAGGAAGATGGTGCTGCAGGGGTGGGACAAGTCAGAGCATGCCTCTGTCTCCTTACCCATCAATAGTGAGCAGCTCAAAGGGAGCGGGCTTGTCACAGACGGGGCAAGTCCATGTGGGCTTCTTCTCATTCATCTGCAGGAAGAAGACTGCGTCGAAACACTGAAGATGAGCACAAGTTAAAACTCGACACGGCACACCGAGCCTCATCTTCACCAACTGGGGAGAGAGAGACAGTTAGAAAATTTATGAATTTGTGAAACTTGCCAGAACAACTGAAATAGAAAATGTGTAGGACAGTGAAGACTGGCCTACCTACATCTTAACATGTCAGGCATTATGATGAATGCATACTCACTGGACAGATGAGAGAAACCCGCAGGCCTGTTGTCGCAATTTCACTCTCTGGGTCAAAACGTAGTTTATCTTGGACTATGGATAAAATGGTAAACAAAACATCATAAGTGATATAAGAGGTTCAGATAACAATGTAATGTGTGAAATCAAACACAATCCAGTCCTACCAAAATTGCATTAACAAAATGTTCAAGTCAGTGACTTGATTGAATGGAGTGTGTAGTTTTCATTCCATTCTTAGGATTTCAAAGAGAACTTAGGCAGAGTACAGAGGTAACACTTACTGCGTTCACGACAGCGTTCTGCACTCTCGACAGAGCAGAGTTTGAGCTGGCTGAAGAGGTCTGCCGCAGTGAAAACCCTCACTAAATACACTGCCACAGAGTACCGCTGAAAACACACAGATTCACAGGTTGTGAGAACATATTTCAAAAAGGTGTCTGAAGATTCTCAGTCATCCAGGTCATAGTAATCCAAGGTGGGTTTAAATCAAGGGCAACTGGACTTCGTTGAAGATACTTAAAGACGTTTTGCACAGAGGTTAAATAGCTGGGATTCAGTCAATCAGAACCTGAAGAAGTATCTTGGATGAGGAGCGAAAAGTCTCAGAGAATCTTTAACCAAGTCCAGCCGTTCTTGATTTTATTTCTAAAGGCTACCAACAGAGCAAAGACACAAAGTGAACCTAAAAACTAAAAAAAAACTAAAACATAACCCTATATTTATTATGGAAAGAAAGATCTACTTGGATTCACCATTCTCAGCATATGTTAGAAGAATTAAAGAAATCTACCTTTTAGAGCCCTCCAGATTATATAACTGTATTTAATGCAAAATATTCTCTTACATTATATGGGTCAATTACAAAAGTCACACATCTTAGGAAACCCAACACAGCAAATTCTTTCTATTAAAAGAATTTTCCCTATCTTTTGTATCCTTGTTATAATTCCCTAGACACCAGGAGCACGTTAAAAAAATGTCTATTCTTAACAAAACCACCAGATTTTGATGGACTGAAATACCCACAACCCCAAGGTTATGGACTTGCATTGATTAAGTATGCTGAGCAATCAATTTTTTATTCTCACGTTCCACGTCAAACAACCCCAAAAATGGTTGGTTTGCCTCAAAATCATCTTAGGTTCAACACACACACACACACACACACACACACACACACACACACACACACACGCGCTGCTGTCTGTTTAAAACAGCAGTATTTCAATCATGCGGTGGATAAAAGGAGGGTGTCAAAATACTGTAAAGACCAGCACTCCTCTCTCAAACATTTTAGGAAACACTACAAAATTTAGACTAGAGATTTTCTTAACTCAGCTATTCAGGCGGGTTTTATGCAGGCTTACTGTATGCTATCGTGATAGGGCCACCCCAAAACTCTGGGATAAAGAAAACACTATTAAAACACAAGGAAAAACAGCATGCATTAAACGGTTTCTTATTGTGTTTACTTTCAACTTTTATGTTGCTCATCCCTAATTGGTTTACACAAAACCTCTAAAGGAGAGGGTACCAACAGGGGTGAGTGTTTTCAATCAGCCTTCGAGCTGTTTATTGGACCCAAATTTTAGAGACAACAGTCAAGAAGCTCGTTAAAGTAGTTCAGCTCTTGGCCATCGAGAGCTTTCTTGTTCAGTTAAACCATTCACAAATGAGTGGGACCCATGAAACACTTCAAGAACTACAGGTCCCAGCTGGTACTGGTGCACTGTGTATCTGTCAGGAGGAGCTGGACAGATTTTCTGAGTGAAAGACACCTGTGCTTGCCACCACCTCCCTGAGCTTTGCCAAAATGTGAGATTCAGCATCAGACTCTGACCTTGCCAAAGTTCCCCCAGGTGACAGTGACTCTGTTGGTGACATTGGAGAGATGCAACCAGGGAGTGATGTTCACAGGACGACAAGGACGACGGGGTTCAACACCAGGCTTATTAGATGGGTAATAGCCCTGTAAACACACAATGCAAAACAATAATGTAAATTATTCAATATATTATCTAAATCAAAATGTTTGTTTAAATGACAGACATCAGAATTCCCTCTGTAGGGCTTAGATACAGTTTAAAAGACAAAGTAGTTGTTGGGCTCTACATTGTGACAGATGCACAGTCATTTTTTTAAACTGTGGGGCAAAAGACACAAGACAGAGCTGCTTGCTGGCAAAGAGTTGTGCGAAATGGAAGTAAGGGCTTAGTTCTCCTCCTTGAGCAAAACTAAAGGAAGAGCACTGAGCAAGCTGCATGCGAATATTACATTACACTCTCACCTATTGTGTTTTTGTTTTCTGCTCTGCACATGCAAATATGTCTTTATTTATCCATACATCCAAAACAATCATTTGAAGCCTCCAATGTCAGGTTTTACGCCACATTTATTACATTACAAACTCAGCCAATGTCAAAAGGTATGGGGGAGCCTTTTATTCAGCACAGTTACCCAGCTAAACTTATTAGAAGGGCGGGACTATGTGGATTCCACTAAGGGAGTCCTTGTACTTTCCAAATCAAATAAACACACTTGCTCTTAACATAACAATGATATATACTGCTCAAAAAAATAAAGGGAACACTAAAATAACACATCCTAGATCTGAATGAATGAAATAATCTCATTAAATGCTCCTTTCTTTACATAGTTAAATGTGCTGACAACAAAATCACACAAAAATTATCAATGGAAATCAAATTTATCAACCTATGGAGGTCTGGATATGGAGTCACACTCAAAATCAAAGTGAAAAACCACACTACAGGCCGATCCAACTTTGATGTAATGTCCTTAAAACAAGTCAAAATGAGGCTGAGTAGTGTGTGTGGCCTCCACGTGCCTGTATGACCTCCCTACAACGCCTGGGCATGCTCCTGATGAGGTGCTCCTAGACAGTCTGTGGTGCAACGTGGCGTTGGTGGATGGAGCGAGACATGATGTCCCAGATGTGCTCAATTGGATTCAGGTGTGGGGAACGGGCGGGCCGGTCCATAGCATCAATGCCTTCTTCTTGCAGGAACTGCTGACACGGTCCAGCCACATGAGGTCTAGCATTGTCTTGCATTAGGAGGAACCCTGGGCCGACCGCACCAGCATATGGTCTCACAAGGGGTCTGAGGATCTCATCTCGGTACCTAATGGCAGTCAGGCTACCTCTGGTGAGCACATGGAGGGCTGTGCGGCCCCCCAAAGAAATGCTACCCCACACCATTACTGACCCACCGCCAAACTGGTCATGCTGGAGGATGTTGCAGGCAGCAGAACGTTCTCCACGGCGTCTCCAGACTCTGTCACGTCTGTCACATGTGCTCAGTGTGAACCTGCTGTCATCTGTGAAGAGCACAGGGCACCAGTGGCAAATGCCAAATGTCCTGCACAGTGTTGGGCTGTAAGCACATCCCCCACCTGTGGATGTCAGCCCTCATACCACCCTCATGGAGTCTGTTTCTGACCGTTTGAGCAGACACATGCACATTTGTGGCCTGCTGGAGGTCATTTTGCAGTGCTCCTCCTGCTCCTCCTTGCACAAAGGCGGAGGTAGCAGTCCTGCTGCTGGGTTGTTGCCCTCCTACGGCCTCCTCCACGTTTCCTGATGTACTGGCCTGTCTCCTGGTAGCGCCTCCATGCTCTGGACACTACGCTGACAGACACAGCAAACCTTCTTGCCACAGCTGGATGAGCTGCACTACCTGAGCCACTTGTCTGGGTTGTAGACTCCATCTCATGCTACCACTAGAGTGAAAGCGCCGCCAGCATTCAAAAGTGACCAGAACATCAGCCAGGAAGCATAGGAACCACTCCTTTATTGGGGGTGTCTTGCTAATTGCCTATAATTTCCACCTGTTGTCTATTCCATTTGCACAACAGCATGTGAAATTGATTGTCAATCAGTGTTGCTTCCTAAGTGGACAGTTTGATTTCACAGGAGTGTGACTGACTTGGAGTTACATTGTGTTGTTTAAGTGTTCCCTTTATGTTTTTGAGCAGTGTACATTCCCTTCATCGTTCACTTTCCATTTTCACAAAGTGGAAATATGTACACCTGTATGCTGAACTAGAAAAGAAGACAAACGATAAACAGGAAAGGAGAGGTGGGAGGGAAGACCAAGTGTTGCCACCAAACATCATACAAGCCTTCCCATTCTCTTCCTACAGTATGAAATATTAACTAATATTTTTGTCTAATACTTAAACTGATCAATACAAAGACTCAAAGAGAAACCCAGTCTCTCTGTCTTTCCACTTAATTTACAGTTTATCTACTCCAACCTGGCTGACGTATTATTATCCATTATTTTTCTTCCATCTACAGCTTTCTTACTGGCTACAAGGAATTATTTGATATTTGTCATGTTTGTGTCGTAGGGGTGCAACGGATCACAATAGTCACGGTTTGGATCACATTACAGTCGGATCAGAAAAAAAAAAGAAAAAAGATTAGGGTTAAATTATTTTTACAATGTGCTACTTTGGCTCTGATGTAGATGCCTCTCTGTCTGTAGTCACCACTCTGTAATCTCGCTCAATGTCCCGTCCACAGCACTATATGATTAGTTACACATGATGAGTAATAGCCCATCAACTGATGTGCAGCAGACGGGCAAAGAGACCGGAGCTGCTCCAGTGAGCGAGCGGAGCCGTGTGTCAAAGGGAAGGCAGCAGATATTACTGAACCTGCAATAAACATCACAATCTTATGATCCATTTCCATGATGACAAGCATGCCCAGTGTAAAAATGCCCTAAATCACAGCCTTTCACTCAATGAGGCGAAAGTGACGACTTTTAAACCAGCAAACTGACTTTTGTCTCTGTCTTTTCGGTCTCCTCCAGTGTATTTTGACATTTCTATGATATTTCATATTTTTCTGAGTCATTTCCTTACAATGTTGATTACCCACATAGTTCGCCAAATATTTTTTGACAAATAGCTTAATTTTGTGCTCAAAGTTGCAAAAGTTGCTAAAGTTAGTTGTTAAAACGGGGTGGTGACGTATGACTATAGTAATTCAATAAGTCATACGTCATTCTTCAAGCATGCGCAGGCGCACTGTCATGCCTCGTTAAAAAACTGTCACGCCTCAAGTCAGAGCATCAAACCGATAAACATCGAGCTAGCTAACCAATTTATCATGTAATTTACTTAGAACTTACAGTAGGTATGTCTCGCTGTGTCTGATGTGTCAGTTTGTCTTTTTAGTTTAGTTAGCCAAGTTAACAAAGTTAACTAAGTTGTAGTTAACCAGGTGTAGTTAGCTAGCATAGTTATTGCAGAAAGTAGGCTAACAGAGGGTCTTCATTTTATTTTTTGTTTTCCTCCTCTTGGTTTAGTGTGTTCATTTTCATTATGGCATTTGTGCGTGCGGTGTTGGACAACAGAAGACAGAAAACGCCTCGCACTTTCACCTGCCACCGTCTTATATACAGTCTGCAACACGCATTTTACTGACTGCTGTTTTACCGATGCATCAGGGGAGGCACTTAACAAACCCCCGCGGTAAAGTAAGCGCACCATAAAACGTAGTGGGAGTTATCGTGTGCAGTGCGTGACAGGACCATCGCGCACACTAGTTTCTATCATGGGTAAGTAATAGCTACTCCGGCCAGACAGTAAAGTGCACTAAACTTTACAGTGTAGTGATGTTAACACAGCATATCGTGAATGAACACTCCAGCCGGTCAGTGTTTGGTTGTCATGGTAATGTATTATGTCCGACTATTAACCACACCCCCATTCTCTGTTAGAGAAAGAACGTTCACCAAAAACAGCAGTTAAAACTGGCTGGAGAGGGGCTTTAACTGCAACTCTGCATTGAGATTTACAGATGCATTACTGTAAAAAGTAACAGCGGCAGTGTTTCACAGTATGATGGTTAAACTTGCAATGTACTGTGCTGGCGGGGGGTGGGGGGTTGTTACAGCTCATGGATCAACTACGATCCGTTACACCACAGTTTGGTTGGTCTCATCTGTGTACTGACATTATCTTTGCTGCTGCTATCTATTACTAAGTAATATGGTAACTGTAGAGCTGTTAAATTAAACAGTAAATTATCACAGTGTCTCATGCAGTTGTGTTGTCCGCCACCGCTACTACATTTGGCTTGAAGCTTGAGCATCTAAGACTTGAGTTTTCAACAGCAGCCTTTTGAATCCTAAAGCTGCCAAACTCCCATTTTTGTTTTCATAAACACGGATTTCGGACTGTTGTCTTTCCAGTTTGAAATTGTGATGACACACCTTATGAATACAACATTGCAAGACACTCATCTTGGATGTTTTAGCTTCCTACCAGCACTTGAACACATGACACTACAGCAGTTTGTAAGCCATGCAGAGACTGCCAGCTGGAGTTTAACATCAGTTAACATCCACCTGCATTAACTTGAATAATCCATCACTACCATACATTATGATGCTAGTAAATCGCAGTAAGTCCGACAGTAACACCCAAACCTGTGACCGTACTTGAAAACAAATGGCTTACAGTACTGACTGAGGACATTTTTTTAACGGGAACAGAACAAAAGCGCAGCTTTAGCCATGTTTGTGAATGCAGGGCTTGTCTTTTGGCAAGTGAATCAACTCACCGGCACATGACAGTAGGACTGGTTGACTTTGACAGCAATGTTGGGAGGATACTGGTCCTCCTGAACACCAATGGAGTCTGTGTAACAGATTCTGCAACAGAGAGCGATACGAGAGAGAAAGGTTATCGTAAGAATGTCTGACTGTTGAGCTAATCAGCATGACAGAATCTGTCATGTCTTTCAGTGCTTCAGAACCAGACTGTTCATATTAAAGTACCAGATATTCAATTTTGAAAGTAGATTATGGGGGAGATTAAAATACTATTTGCACATGCGTGGTAAACTATTTTCCTTGCTCATCTGTGTGATAAATTCAGATTAACAGCACAGTCACTGGCAGAACCAGCACATTCCAATCCAAATAATTGTGAAATATCAATGTTTCAAAGTTTCAATGTGAATTGGTGGAAACTTACCTAAGAACCACTTGGATTGATCTCATTCCAGGACGAATCTCACTAAGACAGTAAAAAAGGTCACAAATTAAAATGAGCTTAAGTTACAGTTTGTAAATTAAGCTAATATTAACGGTGCAGACCTGGGGAGAATTTTTGCATCGTCTTACCTTGCATTTCTGACCTGGTCTGCTTGGTTTGGTGTTAACTCAAATATGCATTGACTGTCCTGCAGTTTCTCATTGTTCTGGGCAACTGTATACATGTGTAGAGAAAATCCATCACAAAATCAGCACAATATGGAGTTGACTTGTTTAGTTAAGACCATAACATTTCTACGAAACGACCGATTTCAATACAAGGCTATAGATACGTGTAACTATATGCACTCACTTAGCTCTGTTGGTGGCAACAGTGTCTCTAAAGTTTGGTAGAAGGGCAGCGGCACAAGCTTGACCTCTGCTGCAGGTGTGGGGATCGGTTTGGAAATGCCGTTGAGGTAGTCTGCGCCCTGAGAGGTGGCAGTGGGGGAAGAGCTGAGGGAGGAGTAGGCAACTGGGACACCCTCTGGACGACGTGCCGCAAGCCAGCCAGATGTTTTGGGGAAGCGTGACTCGTAGAGCTGCCTGACGTTCTTCAGAAGCTCTGGGCTGTATTCGGTCTGCACTAGCCTCAGCGCACGCCCCACCAGGTCCTGTTTCAGCCCGCTTTTGCTGCGACCCATTGAGGCCAGCAGCGTCTGCAGGTCTGAGACCCGGAAACTTTTGACCATGTTCTACAGAGAGGACAAGACAAAAAGATGAGAAACACAATACAGAGACAATTAAATTTATAAACGTGGAAAGATTTCAGTGACAACGCCATGAATTTAAGTCTAGACTCATTTTGAGGGCCAAGACCCAACCCACAGCGTATTGACCCTTAATTGAAATACAAATCCATTTTCTATCACAGTGCTAATGGTTTTGGATTTCTTCTACTTCTGACTTTTCCCCACAAAATTCATAATTTAACATGTTTTATTCTTTCCTAAATTGTTGCCGTTGTTTTGAAGCTATTCGCAGTCCAAATTTCTAAAAGTATCACTTCCCGTGAGGAAACATCATTGTCTACCAGTGTGTCTGACGCTGGAAAATACCTTCCAGCACCTGTGTTTATATTCTGTGAATTTCCCCATAAAACGTAACGTGGGAGTTCTTCACCAAATAACCCTGCTAATAAATATGCATGTGACAGTCTCCATACAATTATTTACAATTAACCTATATGCAGCATTTAATGATGATGATGATGATGATATAGCAGTGCCTCAAAAGGTGGATTCCTGCTAAAATTAGCTTCTGTCTTTAGTCACTTTAATCCTACAGAGGCTTGAACTTGACTCGTAATTAGCTGGCTACAGCAAGGACTCACACCACCCCTAATTCTGACCACTTGCATAATGGCCTAGTCATTTTCATTCTCATGTTCTTATGACTGCACCTCTGCATATCACTCTGTTACATTCACAAATCATTGTCATGTAAGGACAGATAGAAACAACACGATCCAGCTATAACTTAGTATAAGCCTGAAAAGTAAAGGAATAGACTTGGACTGTGTTTAGCTTTGGGATTTAAAGTGAAATGTTAAACAAGACAGGTTTGAACAAACAATTAAAAATATATGGGAAAACCTAGATTAGATCTTTATTTAAAATAGAGACTGGTATAGCTTGCCTTGTGCGATGTTTATAAGTATACCAAGATCTGTTTACAGTCCCATGAGATAGAATACATCTTAAATATAAAACTAACCAATTTCTATAAAATGCAGTTTAATTACAGTATATCTCATACGGGCGAACTCGTTTCTCCAGCAGTGACAACCAAACTTAAATCATATCAAGCAGAGGTTTACTATTTGAATACAGTGAATAAAAGTATAGCCACGGGGACAATCGTCCGATTGACTCGCCATAATCTGTTCACATTTCGATTAGCTTCACTGAACTTGTATACAATTACGTTACTTACATAATAAGTGGAATCGGTTATTTCAGGACAGGCCACACAAGACAAAGGGGCCAGTTTATTTGTACACAAATGTTTTTAGCGTTAGTGGAAAAACCCGATCCGTCTAACGTGCTTTAGCTTTGTCTGACACTATTGAGTCGACTCAAGTGACACAACTGCTTTGTATCTAGATTACATTTTCACAATAACGCGACCGTCCGAGATTCTGATGGACATTTAGTGCAAAAATGCAGCCATTAAGTCAGCAGCGTAGCGGTTTCTTTAGCCTCACTTGAACATTACCGATAAAGCGAGCGCTAATCGGCAGGCTAGCTTCACTCCAGGCTGGGCTTTTGGTATTCAATCGTGGCATCTGGACATTTTGACAGGTGCACAGCTCCGTAAACTAACTAACGTTAACTACGTACCGACATTATTTAAGCCAAATAACGTCAAATAGTAACGCGCCGAGAAGCTTGATAGCAGAAAACCCCAAAGTGTTTTATGGTCGCATCATTCATTTTCGGTGTCTTCCTTTAGAGCCAGCATGATGCTAGCTAAACCAACGCACTTGCATAGTTAACACCACCTAGCAGGCTAGCTACGTTAGCAGCAAAATCTAGTTCGTTTTGTCGTGAATGTAAAATGCTACATTTGTAAGAGTACAAACACTAGACTGTATTCGTACAAAGCCCCCAGTTTCCCCACAACCGGGCTGAGTTTCAAACCACACTCCCGCGCCCGTCTCCCATCAAACCAAAGCTAGCCCAGCTCTACTTGCCATCGCTTCCACCAGTTCGGCCGCCATCTTCGTGCAGCAGTACCGCGAGAGTCAGAGACGACGGCTAGTCTTTCACCAATGAAACGCAACGCCTGTTTTGATAGAAGGATGGCCTCAGCCAATCACAGCGCGGTTTTAACCAGAGCCCGAAGCGCTACATACAAACTGGGAGGGACCACAGTGTTTTAAAGTTACAGTACAACTTTTTAAAAACACTAAGAGACAGGTCTCATCTCCAGAATAGGCCCCAGTGTCTATTAATGATACCACGTGTCAAAGTATTTTAATACCCATGATGTTTTGGTTTTATAGTATTGAGGTATTGCGAACGTGTGTCTTAAAAAATTACTAAATTCAACGTCGATGTAAAGCATGGTGTGTCAAGTGGACTGGGTCGCATGGTCTGTTCAGTTCCCGTCCGAGCAAAATACTCCGTTACAGGTTCTGCACCGAGCCGTGAGATGTGTAGTTAATGCTTTGTCTGCGGTTAGGTTCATAACTGAATTCAAATTAGCAATGAACGAAATACTCTTACACGTCAAAGTTTAAGTTTAAGTCATACCCCGTCTAAAACACAAATACTATACTGTGTCACGCTTTTAGCAAAATTGTGTGTGTGTGTGTGTGGGGGGGGGGGGGGGGGGGGGGGGGGGGGGTATGGTAAAGACACATTTATACTCCCTGTGATCCAGCCCTGCTTTTCCAAAAGCACCTCATATGTGTCAAAGAAAAGCCTCATGGAAACACACAAATCAATTGAAGGAATTGCAGTATCGTGTAATAACATGGTCTGTTTTGTTTTGGCTTTACTTTGGATGTCAAACGTCAATAAAACAAAACTGTGTATTCAAAAGGACAGCAGTTTTTCCCGCCATGCTGCTGGATGGAATGGTTATCTATGATTATAAGTTATCAATAAATAGGATATTGGAAATATAGGATCCTGTTATTTTAATACAGCTGTCTAAATTTAGTTCACAAATGCTGACCCAAATCGCGGCTTGGTAGTTCTTCACAATGCAGTCTGCTATTTTTTTTTTTCAATTAATATAGCTTATTACATTATATAATACAATAACACTTGCAAATATAAAGGCAGCATAGTGCTCTCTGCTGTGTATGTACAGTATTACATGTTATATTATTTAAACAGAAGAGGGCAATATCGTCCATGATCTGACCCACCTGTCATTTAAATCAGTCTCTCACTAAATCTGACAGAAAATTATCAGATCTATCCAGATACTGTACTATTACTGTTATCTGGGCTAATGTGATGATGTAAAATGGTGTGTGTGTGTGTGTGTGTGTGAGTGTGGGGGGGTCTCAATCTCTACAACTGACAGTTCAGTATACAACACCTATGGGTACACGCCCATCAGTATAAACTCATGCACACAGACACTGTTAAAACTAGATCTTTATTTGTTTCAGATCCCACATATTTAAATAATATTTAACATCAAAACATAACATTTTCATTAAGGGACACTGAATATTTTGCATTTGCAATGTTATTCAGTTATGAATTGTGGTGTTGAAAATTTTATAAATGTTTTATATGACTTTGATCTTACTTGTGGGGAAATTAAAGGTGGATTTTGGGTACACTGGGAATCAAGTGGTGAAATAACACCACCTTTTAAGATGGATTAGGTGCTTTAATCCTCATAATTGGTGAAAAACACTTAAGGACCTTTGTCTTTTCTTCATTGTAAAAACTCAGTTCACAGAACAAATTATTTAAATTATTGAAATGATGGCATTTTACATCAACAGTGTAAATATAAAACCCACAATTCATGTCAGCATCAAAAAGTGTAATTCACAAGGGTCTGATGTGGAGATATTTGAACTGTGTATCATAACAACATAAACAAGTCTACTATACTACTTCCAGCTATAACCATAGAAAAAAAAAGTGACGTCAATGCATTGTCGACATTAAAATATTATCACAATCAATCAGAATCAACTTTATTGGCCAATGTATGTGTACACATGACTCAAGTTATAAGTTGCTCATGATGTACATACACACAGAACAGTTAACAGAAACATAGAAATAGACATACAACAAGAAACATGGAAAACAAAGGTGAACACAGATAGGTAAAAATAAAGTATACAAGTAGATGAAAAATAGATACAAAAAATAACACTGACTAACAACATACAAGTCAAGTGTTCTGTAGATTGTAAACAAATACAAAGAGGAAAGCAAATCAAAACACTCATTATAAAATGTAATAAGTAAAGTTTAATTAAACACAGAGATAAAGTCTGTAGTAGAGTCCTAACACATGAATACATATGACACAATTAAATAATACAATATAATACATTACAATGTAGTAGTGCGGAGGCTTTCAGTTTTGATCTCTGAAATGGATCTTATAAGATATCTGAGATTATAATTGTTGAACTCACTCACAAGCAGAAAAAACACATATTTTTTTGTGAATGAACAAACTTAAACATTTCCAGTGGCTATTAACAAAGCAACAAGAAGTGTCTTTTATAAAAATAGTTTACAAGAATTAGTCACAGGAAACACAAATTACAAAAGGGTAATTTCTACAACAGCAATTTAAGTCATTTGATTTTTCACACATATGCTTTACGGTTCTGTTACCTTGTAGTGATTATCAATGTCTGCACAGTACATTCGTGCTATTTCCTAAATATAAAGAGACTGAATGTGTTTTGTCTCCAAAACATTAAACGTGACCCATTAATTACTGCTCTTTGGTAATTGAAGTAATTCTTTGGCCACCATTACCATGGACAAAACAACTTTAACAGGATAACACTGGCATTTAAAAGGCCTTTGATTCTACAGCATCCATCCTCTGCACACCACGTCTTACTAAATCTTGAGTGTTTAATCTCCCGTAATTACAAAGATTTGCTTCAGTTAATAAAAATAATCCGCCTCAATTGAGACCCCCTACCTCGACCTCCCCTGTGCCTTCTTTGCCCCTTTCTGTGAGGGATAAATTCACAGTCATATAAATAGAGTCACCTTCACAACTGTGAAGCACAACTCTTTCAGGATTCAGGAGGAGGCTGTTGGATACTGAGAAAGTATTTTTGATCGTTAGCGTGAACATTAAATTCAAATTTGTTGCTAACCAAAGTTGCCGTATTTAGTCTTATAGACTGACGTCATTTCCACAGGTTAAGATTGTGTCGCTCGTTAGCGCGTCAAGGTTAACAACAGTTGAGAGGCTCATCTTTATCTGTGATCTTGTCAACAGTAAGACTTCGGCGGAAGAAGCCAGGGGCATTGAAGCTTTCAATTTAAGAAGGGTCCTGCACTTTAAAACAAAATAGCCATGCTTTGAAACTCAGACACCAAATTCTGAGCAGACTTTTGGGAGAGACACTTTTAATTTATCACCTGATTCTAATTCAACAGCCAGTTTGGAACCAATTAAACCTCTGTAATGAGTCTGAGGTATCTTAATTCAGAGATGACAATGGAGGACAGAAGCAGCCGCACTGGCGGCAGAGAAAGGCTGGGACTGAGCTTCACTATTGACTATCTTCTGTTCAATAAAGGAGTCAAAGGTTCCAAAGAAGAAGCGACAGGAAGTCGTACAGCAGAGCAGATAGCGAACAACATGCCAAATCATCAGAATCCTAAACCCGAAGAGGTGGGGATTCACGCTGAGATACAGGAGAAGCGGCTACAGAGGTCAGAGACTGAAGAAAGGAAAGTCAAAGAAGAGGAGGGGGATGAAGAGCAACAAGAGGAGGGGGAGGAGGTAACCACCACCAGCAGCCCAGAGAAGTCTACGGACAAACCTAACCAGTCATACATTGCACTCATCTCCAAGGCAATCCTGGCATCAGAGCAGAAGAAACTGCTGCTATGTGACATCTACCAGTGGATCATGGACCACTACCCTTACTTCAAGAGTAAGGTACGTTCAGTCATTCAGTTTTTTTGTGTTATTCTTTTTACCTAGCGGGCAGAGATTAACATGTATGGCACTGCGAGAAAACAATAGTTGTAGTTGCGGAGGAATTCAGAAAGTCAAATGGATTGATAATGTGAGGGGACATCTGTCTGTGGGACTCTTTTGAAATGAATCATGCTGTACTTTATTAACTCATCACAGCTACTGCTAAGGCAATCATGAAACGGATAACAAGAAAGCGCGTTTGCCCAACGTCTTCGGCATGTTTCATTCAATTGCTGAAAAAAATAATGTGGCAGCCATTTTCACAAGTGAAGCGACCTACTTGGCGCAGGTAATCTGTCTGAGTGGTTAGGCAATTAGGTGCTCGCAGGGACACTAGATGATCTTCTTGTTGGCAAATTCACAAATAAAGTAATCCTGTTGCTAGGTTGCAAACTGCCTCTGCCTTCACCAGGTGCAACAACAGATTGGACGTAGCCTAATGGATTAAAGTTGATCACTGGTTTGACGTGCTAAAAAGGTAACTTAGGGTGTTGTCTCTTACTGCAATCATATAATGTCTTGACACGGAATCACGCATCCTGCCAACAACAGGACAAGGTGACATCCTAAGGAGGATCAGTGATACTTAACGGCCACCTATGTTAATTTTCAATTGGTGACTCTGTTTAACGCTTACTTATAGGTTTTGGGTTTTAACCAGCTTTCTTTTCTTTTCTTGCTCCAACAGGACAAAAACTGGAGGAACAGCGTGCGTCACAACTTGTCCTTGAACGATTGCTTCATCAAAGCAGGCCGCAGTGACAACGGTAAAGGCCACTTCTGGGCGATTCACCCATCAAACTACCAGGACTTTTCTAACGGGGACTACCACTGTCGGAGGGCGCGGCGGAGAGTACGCAGGGTGGCAGGACAGCTCCACCATTCCTCCCTAAACTCCCCCTACTACCCCGCCCTTGCACGGGCCCACAGAACGACCTGTTGGTGCTGCCCTCAAGCCCAAACATTCCCTCTGTCCTGCTTGGCACCCAGACTCTACTGGCCGTGGTCCAGTGTGCAGCCACAAGTGGGGCTCCACCCGGGACTGCGTGCCTCTATACCCTGACAGTGAATAGTTTGTTTTATTATTGAGGTATACGGTCTTATTTGCTGATG